TTTTGCACTTCAAATTACCAGTTTCAAGGTTTATTGCATTGTGAAGTCAAAGATGATAAAATTCAGCAGCTTACTACCTTCATATGCACTATCCAACAGTATATGCTTACCTTAAAAACATATGTGCAAAATTAATAAGGCTGAAAGATTTCGCTAATCTTCTTGAAATATTCTAAAGTGCTTTTTAAAAAGCAGATAAGAGAGGTCCATCATCAAAGCCAGAAGAAAAGTCAATGCAATGTTTTATATGAACACAGTTCATATCTGATTGATCTTGTTCAGGAATGATGCATCAGCTGAAAAAAGGGGATTTAGAACTGTGATACCTATTCCTGTGTTCAAATCAACACAGAAGGAGATGATTATTTTGAACCCCCATTGGCAACTGTGCCACCATGTCACCGCAGATCAGCCATGCTGGGATTTAGCTTCATGCCCCAACGATAGATTTCATCTCTTATATGACAAAACAGTAAAAAAAAGAAATCAGATAGCAGAATCTGTGACCTACATGGCAAGCAGGCTAACTAAACTCCAATCAAGTCTTTACTGAGACTGAATGCCAAGACCTACATTAGCTCTGCTCACCCTTGTAGAATTTCTGGAAGCTTACAGCTGGAATTATGGGACCATACAATTTCTATCTTAGTGTTCTGATAATCCCCAAAGGTGTATATCTTTAAAGGTTCTAGAAAAAAGTATTTTCCCTGGATATGTCACTGTTGCTTGCCTTACACTCAAGGTAACCCTTTGTTGTTCAGAGGAAGAATAGTATGTCATACTTAAACTACTTGATAGCTTGCATCATGAAGATCTGCAAAACAATTCTTTGTCATTTAAACAGATAATTTTGTAATGCTTTCTGAAGTGATAAATACCCAATGGAGAAAATCTTTCTTAGTGAATTCAGGCTATAGCATGTGAGGGATATAATCATTCGTTTTAACAGTGATGGTTGGAAAATGGATATTTGTTGATCTCCCAAGAATAATTTGAAAATGCCCACAAATTGAAGAAGTTACAGAAATGAAGGGAAAAAACTCAACAACCTGTTCATGCAATATTATTCAAACAGTTTCAAAAATGCCTTTTCTATGTCCTGTTAACTGCCATTTTGGAATGGAGCAGGACATACATTCAGGAAACTGAGACATGCAGAAGTCATATTTTTTTCTACCAGTCTGCAGACCCAATACTTGGAGAGAGGGGAGACAGTCGCCAATTTGGAGATTAATCCTGAATATGGTACAGTAACAATTTGTGCTTTGTTCACTATTTCAAGCTGAAAATCTCAAAGCAATTAAAGAGGCAGCATAACTATGATTAAACATTACAGAAATAATTATTTTTTAATAAAAAAATAAAAAACCACAGTAGTTTATAGATATGCGCACATATATGCTAAAAGGAAAGAGTATTTTCTAGTTTGCATCCATTAAAGTAGCCTAAATCAGCCTTAATTCTTTAAGATGTCCCTGTTTTTTTTAATGTTTTTTGATCCCCAGCTGTGGTGCATTGAAGGTTCAGAAGGTTAAACCTCAGAAGGTTATGGAACAGATCCTGAGTGCCATCATGAGGCACATGCAGGACAACCAGGCAATCAGGCCCAGTCAGCACGGGTTCATGAAAGGAGGTCCTGCTTGACAAACCTGGTCTCCTTCTAGGAGAAGGTGATCCACTTAGTGGATGAGGGAAAGGCTTTGGATGTTGTTTACCTGGACTGTAGTGAAGCCTTTGACACCATTTCCCACAGCATTCTCCTGGAGAAACTGGCTACTTAGTGCTTGGACAGGCATACTCTTCACTCGGTAAAAAATCTGACTTGATGGTCAGGCCCAAGGAGTGGTGGTGATTGGAGTTAAATCCAGTTAATGGCTACTCACAAGTGATGTTCCTCAGGGCTTGGTACTGGGGCCAGTTCTGCTCAATACCTTTATCAATAATCTGGGCGAGGGGATTGACTACACCCTCAGCAAGCTTGCAGAGCACAGCAATTTAGTAAGGCTAGAATATCATCTCTGAAGTTGCAAAACAAACAATTTTCAATAGATTTCAATTAAAATTAAGGAATTCACAAGATACTATTACCATAAGTTGCCTAGAGGAGTGGGAGCGCGTGAGTTGTCTCGTTTATATTTTTCCTTTTTAGCAACTGGGAATAAGATTTTTTTTTTGTCTGCATAAAATATAAATGAACTGTAACATTCCTATAAATAACAAAATTCTCAAAGGCCTCTCAACAAATTGCCTACAAAATTTAATTCTTAGAAACCAGCAGATTAGTAGTATATGCTTAGCTCCTATGGGTTTTTCTGTTTTGTGGTTAATTTAAAACTTTTGTACCCCTGAGGAAAAAAAAGAAAAAAGAAAAAAGGGGAAAAAACCGTGGCTAATATATCTCTGTTGTGCCTGGAAAATAGCTCTGCAAAGTTTGGAAACAATCTGATAGAGAAAAAATTTGGCTTGAATAGGGGCATCATATAATCAACACTACATTAATACAAGTGAGAAATATAATTGCATTACAAGCCTTGGCCAAAAATGGTATTTATCAGGCTGAGCATGTTACCAAAAAAAAAATAATATGGAAAACCACAGTTATGGTAGCAAATTTTTTTGTTCAGAAAGGAAGGAAGGAGGGAAGACACCTAAGGAGATATTGCTTGAAACTCCCTTAGAGCAGCCCTGAAGCAGTTATATAAGGAGGAGGAGAGGAAATAAAACATTCATGGGCTATAAGAATAACAATTATGCATCCTCCCCTCTCTATCCTCCTCAAAAGGAGGAAACAAATGGCAATAAAAATAGCTGATTAAGTGGGAGTATCACTTTACACACAGTTGTATGTAAACATGTCAAAAACCATAGACAAAAGAAGCCAATTATAATTCACTACACTGTAAGGCATGTAATTTCAAAAGACCTTCAACATTAGTCATGTTCTATTCTGTGTTGTTTTGAAATTATTTCAGCAGATGTGTACTTACACCAAAAACTGAATTATTTTTTAAAATTTCTATGTACAGCTAATTCTAAAATAATGATGTGAATATAATATATTGTTAATTTACATCAACATATTTCTTTTGCAGTTAAACAGGCAGGAAGAAATTGTGCACTAGGAAATGAAGCCAGTAAAACAAAATTTTATCTGGTAATTAAGACTCCATATCTTTTCATGCTTAATAATCATATTGTTCCTGCTGTTTTACCACCAAAATTAATCCTGTATTGATGCAATATTTCCTACAACAGACACCTCACAAGATACCCCTTTTCAGAGCCATTACAATATAAAAGAGAACAGTCCCGGTAGATCACATTTCTAAAGAAAAGTGAAAAATTGTGGCTCTCATCCATGTCATCAGCAGTACTTTGGGCACAGACCACTATAAACACCACCTCATCCAACAAAAAAGTAAGTCACAATTTTACCAGTTTCATTAGCCATACACATACCTTTTATAAAAAGGAAAAATCAACACAGAGTTTTTTTAGAAGGTGATTTTCTACAGATTTTTAAAGTTAATAACTAGTTTGTCATAATTCCCATACTGATGCAGAGATAAAAAAATACTGCTTCAGCTGGCAAAAATAATTAGACCTGAGTGTTTTCTCTGAAGTTTTAGGCAAGAATTCCCTACCAATATTAAGCCCACTTTATAGTGGTGCATTTGAAATTGAATAAATCAGATTAAAATTATCATTTTGGCCTTTTCTTCTTTATGCAACATATGAGTAAACTGGTTTCGTAAAGGACTAAATACAGGAGGGATGAATAAAAATGCTACAGTTTTAGAAACGTGGCAGCTGCAACGTGACTATAATATCCCATAGCATATAGGGTATCAAGAGAAGGATGGAAGCTCAACAGAAATATTCACCTGACACACAGTCTGCCCTTTGTTCACGTCTGCATGGGTCTCAGAAAGACCATGACCTGAAGGAGAAGAAATAAATTTCTTCACACACACCTAGCCTTTTCCTGAAAGAACAAGGAAGCATTTAAGGAATTGTATTTTTGTAGGAAACCAGACAGAACAAACTCAATTCCCCCAGGACACATCGGATCTCCCTGGCATCACTTGGCAGGTCCTTTAACGGGAAAGAGATTGACACTGCTGTGTAACACAGCTATGCCTTGGGTACCAGCTCACAAAATAAGGTCCACAGGAACGAATTTAAACTTTACTCTGTATTATGCAGAAAGAAGCATTGGTTACACATTAAAAGAGCCAGTAAGACCACTACTAGATTGACACAACAACCAAAGAGCATTCTTGCCTGCCCAAGCAAAGATAGAGGTTTTTTTTCCAGTCTAGACTTCAGCATACCTGTGAGACTTACTCGGGGGTGGCTGGAATACAAGCATTAACACTTCCATCCTGCCAAGTCCAACAGCTGAGAGCTACCTTTGGAATTTTGTTTTTTACAAGCGAAATGATAAACCAATATAGAGCAGTAGGATTTTTCAGATGTATACCCTTACATTCGAAACCAACACAACTGCAGTGGGAGTTTGGAGAATGCTAGTACAATGAATAAGCATTCCTTCCCCCCCATCCTCTCCTCATTCCCCTCCTTCTGCCTAGTAACAAGAGGGCAGGGGATCCCCTGCCTCTCCTGGAGCCTCCACCTGCTGTTTTTTCCCTGAGGATGGCAGGGTGCGGCTCCACCAACCTATTTCCCTGTCACATTCCCAGACGGTCCTCAACCTTCCCACTCCCTCCTTCAGCTCAGCCCCCAGGCCGAGCAGACCATTCCCCTGCTCACAGCGCACACAGGCGCTGCCTTTGCTGTCCCCCTGCCGGAGTGACAGGCTCAGACACTCCACGCAGCCCCTCATCACCTGGACAGACGCGTGTTTCTGTGGGAGGTCAGGTTGGGTGGCTTTATTCCTTTTGGCTGTGGCTACAGACCTAGCGGAGACCACCTCGGGGTGTTTTCTTTTTGCAGGCCCGGCCTGCCTGCTCTCCCCTTGGTCCTCCCCTCGCACTCACCTGTCACCGGCCGCCTCCCTGGGGCTGTGAGTGGGGGGTCCCTGAGCTCGGAGACACCCCCCTCTGTGCAGCGCCATCCCGCCCTCCCCTCGGCTCTCGCCGCCGCCTCAGCGACCAACCGACCGCCTGCTCTTTACCGCCTTTACATCTCCGCGCGGCTCCTGCCACGCGCCCCCTCCGCGCCTGATTGGTTGCCGCGCACTTCCTGCTTCCGGCGGGGTCTCGGGCTGTGAGGAAGGGGTCTCTGAGCTCGAGTACCCCTCAGTGCAGCGCCATCCTCCCCCACCTCGGGCTCACCTCAGGCCTCGCCCCCTTGCTGCCGGCTTTATTCTGTCAAGAAATCATGCTAATTTAATTGGGAATTTATTTAAAGAAATCAAGTGGAATTTACACCCTAAAGTGAATTTTTAAAATCCAGAAGGTAACTCAGTTATTATATGACGCTGCAATTTCAGTGCTGGGCTCCAGACAATTCTAGAAAAATAAGTCTTGCACTGTCAAAAAATAGCGCAGAATTCCATCCACAAAATGCAAAGATGGAGAACTGTAAACAGCAAGTGCGGGAGGTGGGTTTTTTTGTGGTTTTTGGTTTTGTTTTTGTTTTGCCAAGAATAGCTGTAAAAATAGATGAGCTTTTGATATTATTTGACATATGTCAGTAGCATAAAAATGCTCAAATAAAACAGACAATCATCATTCATGAAATGTCTGTCTGCTCCAGGCATACTCCATGAAAGGACTCATTCACATAGACTAGGAGTGAATATTTACTTATGGCGAACTCCAGCTTAAAATATTTTCAAATTACTGAAATACCAGAAAAAAGGTATTCAATATTCCCTCAAAAATCTATATTGAAAAAATGTCTTGTGCCCAAAACATATAGTTAAACAGTAGGAAAAGAAAACATTTGCACAGAAATAAAGCCAAATATCTGAATAAATAAACTCTAGCTTATGAAAAAGACTGTGAGAAATCATATAGCTGATAATCTGATTAAAAATATTACTATATTTATGAAGAGAATAACATAATGTCTAGAATTGTCTAAAACCAAACTAATCCTCCAAATGTCAGTATATTCTCAGTGAGCCATTAACTGGTTGAACTTCATCTACTGCGTTAAATTAACTATGAACTCCACAGCACTGTACAAAAATCTGTGAAATCTGGATTCCTTTCAGCAAAAAACACTCTGTCAAACAGTCTTATCACCATGTTGGTGTTTAGATTCCCCACACTTCATGTGCTTGCAGACTTGCAAATATCTTCAAACTTTGAATTAACTACTTAAAACTCTTTCAGGTTGTTGGTGGTCACTACTTCCTTTCCCAGGGACACGCATGGAACTAAGAGGGACAACTTTATTCTGTCAAAGTAAGAGAAATAACATGAAACACTAGATAAATTCTTTCACCCATGAACCTAGCCTGCACTTTGCATGTATGCCAGGTCTGTTTCTCTCTCATGACATCTGTGATATGTTCTACCACATAGAGAGTAAGGATCTACAAGTTCATTAACGTGAAAAATTTAAGTTAACCTTGAATTTGTTGAATTAATCCTGCAAATCTTAATAATGGTAACATAGTTTTGTCTTTTACATAAGTTGGTTTGCTCCCTTTGATCATCACAATGAAAATAGATTTTTGCTGCTAGTGAGAATTAATGTATCAAAGTTCCATGGATTGTATAATTTACAGTCACATCCTATTGTATAGAAATCTAAACACATTAAGGTATTATTTCTACAGATTACTGTAAAGCAAAAATCCATTCTGACATTTAAAAGGATGTCAAGGACCTTTATATCCAAAGCAATCAAAAAATCAAGAGTTGTTTTTTTTTTAATGTTAGTGTTAGTTGTGTTAGGTATTTTTGCTATAGTTTATGACAAGGTAGGTAAAATCACGATTTGATTAATGAATCTTGTTGAAACAAGCGCACAGAAAGATGTGAGGAATATCAAAGCAAGCTGCATAAATGTTTTGTATATACAAATCCAACTTATTTTCTTTGTATTTGCTCATGCTGTTGCAAGGCCTCTTGTTATCATCGTTGAAAGAATATGGTAACCAGGGGACTAGGGGAGATTCCTTATGACTTGCAGTTTTGCAAAGGCAAAAATGACAATCTGAGGAACTGCAAGTCAGTCAGCTCACCACCTGCAGCAGATATCATATGAGAATATGATATCCTATATCTTCAACAGAACATTTACTCAGTTTTCTAGAAAAGATTGGTCTATGTCATTTTAGAAATTTGGTACTTGTTCTTTATATTTATTGAATTACAACTATCAGTGAAACAGCTACCCTTAGCTGAGATATGTTTAAGGTGTCCTCCCGGATTGAGTCACTATGCACGGTGGCAAAACATCTTTAGAGAGGGACACATTTCAACAATAGTGTTCTGTAATTTATTGTTATATATAAAACAGTCATGAACACCGCAGAAATGATCTGAAACTTGCTGAAACTCAGACTCTTTTATACTTCATTAATGTCAGTTGATCTGTTAAGTCTTAAAACTATAACATATTCAAAATCTTGAATACCTTGAGTTTGGTGGTCCATGTGTAGAACCCAGTCTACTTTTGTTGTTATTGTTGTCAGTAAATGCAGCCAATGAATGTCATAAACGTTTATTCCTAAACTGGCTATTGATATTTTTTGTAAAAGGTGTAATTAATTGTAATTGACTGATGTTGTAAATCAGTGCTTAGGCAGATACTGTTAAATGAAGAAAAAAAGTGATGATTTAAAGACTTAATTAATTGGGGAAAAACGGCAAAAGCCCTTGAAACCATAAAATACATTTGTTCATAATGTCTATTATATTTTCAATGCATTTCTTATTCAAGAAGAGAAAAATAGTTTATCAGTCCTTGAACTGATTTTTTTCCCTGTACATTGCTGTACATGTGTAGGTGAACTGACTTAACTGCTTCTTAGGCTGAAAATCTGGATTTCTGCAAGGTCATGACTAAAGATGAACTGTGGACCTTTTATTTCTGTAACACCCTTGATCCAGCAATCACACAGCAATCCCTTATCTATGAAGGAGGAAAAATATTATGAATATTCTCAAATTTAGACCAGACCTAGTTAAGCAAACAATTAAAAATTCAGTTTGAACAGAGCTCACAACTGAAATTCTTATCTCTGGATGTTTATCTCCAGTGGAATATACAGGAAAACAATAAATTAATGTTCTATTTAACAGTGGGGACACCACATTCTGTGAGCCAGAGCTCTAAAGTATGTGCTCATTTTACTTAAGGCTTGTAAGTAATGAAGATAGTCAAAGAAGCCTTGAGATCATCAAGCAAATCTCTACTAGAGTTGTTACTGTCCTTTGCTCTTTTGCGATCCAGGATTTTCCTGATGATATTATCTTTTGTTAATAACCCTTAAGTGTCTGCAGATGGTACGTTATTTGTAATCCTTCTGTTCTTTTCTCACTTGGTTTTCCACAAATCCCCCATTGGATTAAACTGATATAATTATATAATAAACTACCGAATAATCTTTTCTATGTTACTCACAAAGTCTCATAGAACGGATCTGTTTCTGCCACATCCACTACCTCTCTGGGAGTTACTAGGAGGGGTCTAAGTTTATATTACTGCTGTTAAAGGACAGTGGGGGGCTAAAAAAAGAGTGTAAGGAGAACAAGACAAAAGCAAGAACAAAAGAAAATGCTTTATGGCAGATAGCACACTGTTTTGGTATTTTAAGAGGCTAGCCTGAAGGACCTACTTCAATGAAGGCACTGTAGTGCAATCCCCAGCAATATCGTTTAGGTCAGATATTCGGGACACAGAAAATAGGACACACTTTGCAGATCATAGTGTGTCAGGTAGGATACTTCATTCTCTGACTGACTTCTCCTGAAGGGGAGAAAATCCAAAGAAAATAAAATATCATAACTTAGTACAGGTTAGTGTGAAGTGACTCTTGTGAATACCAACGACAAGAGGTCATTGAATTACTGCGTTAATGCAATTTGCATTATTACATCAAAAACGCACATAAAATGTCATTGAAATTGTTTGGGTATGGAAAGACAGAGGGAGAAGCACAGAGTAGTGGGCTGATCACAAGAAAGAGTTCCTACTTCTACACATTGAATTCCAGCACAATGAATTCCTAATTGAATAAACCATTTAGTAAATAAATGCATATACAATTGTGCTGGATGTGTTTATTCTACAGGCTGATAAATTGCAGAATGAATAATGTATTTTCTCTTAATATGTTTTGGTCAGAAAGGACAACATTTGCCGTAATGCTTATTTACCCTTAGTTGAATGACAGAAAAATCCTGATAATGAGCAGTCAAAGTATTTCAAGTATCATGATTTCAAGTATCATTTATAGCTACTGCAATCAACTATTGTATACCTGTTACCACAAAAAGTGACACTTCCAGACAGTGGATTTTCTAAATCATCATCAAAATGCCAAGATTATTTAAAATGGAATAGATTTTTACACTCTTGACTTTTGAATGATGGCAGTAATTTTGAATTGCTATTCTCCTATTCCTTGTAAAGAGCAGAAATGTACAAATATAAATGTTTGAATAGACAGTAGGGTAGCAGTATTCTGGTTGCTTTACCTTTGTTTTCTATCCATATATATATCTCCCAGGTTTTCACCACCCCATTCAAACCTTTCAACTATTTTTCATCAAAGGAACAAAGGCATAATTTCCATTGAAGAAATTATAGTAATTCAGTGGGGAATATCAATAGTTAAAAACGTACTCTCTGTAAACATCCACATCTTCAATCATTGTAAAGCTGAAAACAGCTTGAGGAAGTTGCCAGAAATCTTTCCTTAGACTTCAATGGTGTATGAACAAAACATATTTATCACCTACAGTGGCAAAGCAAAATACCTAACAATAGCCTCATGTGTATTCTGAAAGACACTTTTAATGAAGTTTATCATCAGCACTGAAAGTATCCTTTCCAATAACAATGAATCAAAAATTGCATTTGAGGGAGCAACTTACAGTGTTACAACAATGAACATAATATAACCTCCTTTCTCCACAAAAGAAAAAAAAAAACAACAACTAGTGAGCTACACAGCATAACTGTAGATTTTCTATTCTGTGGCAAAAGACATGCCACTTTTTAAGTT